TTCCCTCAAATCCCCCTCAAGTGTAGAATATAAACTACGACAGCGTAAACAATAAATCTCCTAGAAAATCCTGCATCCTCCAGAAGCTCCTATTATCATCCTTTCCTAGCCCACCAAACGACGTTTTTGGGGTATCGAGAAATCCTCGACCGATAGCATACCCTAGAGATAATAACAGACTTGATGTGCTCGTTGTCCTTGATCATGAACCAATACTTTTTTGGACCACGTACAGGGTAGACGAATACTCGAATAGGTGATTCCGGAAAACTGAAATATGTGATAAGTGCGTGAAGTAGGTCCGACGGATTTCAGTCGTCGATGAATCAATGAAATCGATAGTACTCACGCATCGTCCAGAAAGCCTCGAATTGATTGTGGAAAGTAGATTGTGTTGACATCACTTGACGTCTGTTCGAAAGCTTTTTCGAGGGACTCTCGCGTTGTGATTTCTGTTAGCATTCTGCAACAAGATTAAAAATTGTAACAGATGTGCGCGAAATTCACTAAATGAAGAACGAACGAAAAATGGAAATACAAGCAAAGGGAAATCGGGAATGAGGAGATTGAAAGTGAAGAGGTTAAAATTCTACACAGCTCTGCAAAAAATGAAAGCGAATTAAACCTCAATAAGCTACGTCTTCTATAACCCTCCTCCCCATCCCCTCCCTGACCCTGGACGGCCCGAACCTCACGATTTCAAAATGGATTAAGATTGCTACAATAAACTGAAATTTTTTTACATTTTATAAAAAAAATGTCGACACACCCTTTTTGAATCCGCTTTCAAACAAACCAAATACCTTTCTTACACCTCCTCCTTTACTCCACAAAGCAGGTTAACGTGACTCTGATGCCGCCCAGAGCATATTAGGTGAAGGATCATCGGATCAATCCCTACATAAGGTAAAGCTGGTCGCAAACGCAAGATGTGGTCGCCACCTGAAACGCGTGCAAAAAACACGGCTCAGAACTTCCAACCATGGACACCTCAGCAGCCGAGCGCGTCCACCGTTGTGTCACCTGTGCTTCGCTTCCTACTATGTTCTCTCGCCTCCATCTGTCGTTCTCTCGCCACGGCGAGCACTGACTCTTCTTTCGTTTTCTCCTAGACGCTCTCACAGCTCAGAAAAAAGGTTTTTTAAGGAAGTTTTCACTGGCCTTTCCTTCAGCATCAAGTCACGTCATAACATTCACCTGTCAATCCATATTTACTCTTCTTCAGATCTTCCCCTATCACGGAACGTGATAACGTAATTAAAATCTTATAAAAGTAATCGAAATGGACCGAGGACAATGTTGCTATAATATAGCTTTGGATGATTATGAGAGTTTGGTGCGTAAAGAAGCCGAGAAGCAGGGCTTTTTAAGTACAAATCAAAGTATGTATTTATATCAAATCATGAGTGCTGCCTCCGAGTAAAAGGACCTGGCCCTGTATAACCTCATCCGCGTTGCAATGATCTCAAAGGCTCTACATGTGCTCTTTATTTCAGGTACCAGACTAGGGTATTATTGGGCTGATTCGGAACGCAATCCTTGGAGAAAGGATACGCCTTTCGGAATTGAATAGCGTCTCGACATGCGCCCACACTTTCGTTTCGCATCCGAAGTCGTGGGACACAAAATATGCCTTTTTTCTGAATAGTAACTTTTGGGGTCAGCATATTATCTATTCATTTTTTCAATTCTTCAGGCATATCAATCAATCAATACAGAAATTAGCAGGTAATCACTACACATATGCGTAAGAAAGAGCGATGAGTGGAAAAGAGACCCTGAAAATGATATTTCGCGCATGGGATCACAAATGCATTGAATGAATGAAATCTGTGAGAAAACTTGAAAAAAAGATTGAATAGGGTCGTTACAGTATCACGAGGGCGGCGTAGGTGATTTTGTCCGTTAGAATGCAGCAATAATTTCAGCAACAGTCGTCATATATCCAGCGTCATGACAAGTTCACAGTGTTTCTCCCACGGTATAGCTCCGTAAAAATTAATACCTGTGCATGTGTCGTGTCAGTAAACGCACAACAAAGGCTAGGATTAAGTAGGAGTTCTTGGACCGGGTGTGGAAACATCATGAATTGGAGAGAGTTAAAGATTTTACCATTGTGTCACACTTTGACTACGGCCTCCAAGACCTTCAAGATTGCACAGAACTCGACCGGAGCAACGGTCAGCCGTGACATTGACCAATTTTTTTTTTCAAAATTTCACGAAACCTTCCCCTATCAGCAGGGCCCTCGACCTGTAGCTGATTCAATAACATTTGATTTTGGGAAAAATCGATACGCTCCCCCCCCCCCCTCCTCCAATGGTCATCGCAAAATAGTATGACGTGCCCGGTACCGTGTCGGACCTTATCTTCCGGCGACGAATAACCCTTGGCGAAAACGGCAGCGTCCCTGTAATCTTCGATCGTTGGCGTAGTTCCGAACTCCGGATTCCCCTCTGCACTTGCGTGTATAGGGTTACTCCTAGCATCGTCCTCTCGACAGCGCGTTGGATAACGCTGACCGCATGCTCGTCCTGCCTGCGCAGAGTCCAAGTCTCTGAGGCGTAGGTTAGGGCAGGAAGGACAGCGGAATCGAAGAGGTGGGCACGGAGCCGGATGTTCTTCGTCTTCTTCACTACTCCCTCGATGTTCTTGTACGCTCCCCAAGCCGCTCGTTTCCTCCTGCTCAGCTCTGGAGCTAGATCGTTCATCATATTGATTTCCCGACCTAGGTACACGTAGCTGGAGCATTCGGTGATGTTCGTTCCGTTGAGCGTGAATGGGGCATCAGGAACCAATCCGTTTCTCATAAACATCGTCTTCGTTAGGTTCAGCTGTAGACCAACCTTACCACAGGCGCAGTCGAAATCAGCCAGCATTCGCTCCGCTTGCTCGATGTTCGGCGTTATAAGAACGATGTCGTCAGCAAAACGAAGGTGGTGTAGTTGCCGGCCGTCGACCTTCACTCCCATGTCTTCCCATTCCAGTTGACGCATGACGTTCTCGAGAGCGGCGCTGAAGAGTTTGGGCGAGATGGTGTCGCCTCCTGGATCGTAATTTCCTCTTCTATGACGTCGATGATGTGGAACTGGTGAGATTGCTGGGTAACTGTTAAAGTTGACCGCTAGTTAGGAGCTCAACGAAAGAATCCCATGATGAGCTCGACGTAGTGGACACCTTGTTTTTGCCCTAGCTTCGAGTGACCGCTTCTGTTTCCAACAGAGTAGAAAAAGGCCTTCTTCAAGCGATGAACGGAGACAAAGCGCACGGGTGGCGCAGCTTGTGCCGTACTCCCGTGGAACTCATGAGTCTCGATAAACCGACGTACGTGGATATGGTCCGTATGTGGCTGAACCCATCTTTCGGGGAAGCGACTTGACTTGTCTCGCATGGATGTCCTTAGTCATGGCGCTAGTATTGGTCTGCGATTGCGCTACGAATTAAAGCGTAGGATGACTGGAGATATATGCTTGTAGAATTACAGCAGCAAGGCAGAAATTGGCGATAGTCTTTCCAATGCTCCGTACGAAAGTCCAGAAATTCTCTTAAGGCCTGCGCGCTGCCCGTCGGCTTTGAAAATTCAGTTCGGTTTATGATGACTGTATAATCTGATACAATCAATTTTTATCAAGAAATAATTGGCTGATCCAATCCGGAGCCAATCCTTCAACCAAGGCTTAGTCCTAGACTTCTCACCTCCCTTGGTTTGGAGCCGAGCCAGGCGCCGTTCTCTTATCGTCTGCGCTATGGCCTTTCGCGGCAGAGAACACAGGGGAGAGTTCAAGTAGTCGCTTAGGCCGATGTCAGACTTTGCGAATCGCGCGATTCGCTAGCGTCCGCGGTCGCGTTGCGGTACCAGCCAATTGAGTGATTCACTGGCCGCGACGCGACCGCAGACGCTAGCGAATCGCGCGATTCGCAAAGTCTGACATCGGCCTTATGCAAACCGAAAAAAAAGGTGAAAAGCGATTCTCAGAGCATGACTGGTGAGAAATCTTCGAATTCAATTTTCGTGAGATGCTAATTATCGCTGGACCACGGTCGAAATCGTTGACACCGTGCCAGCGGTTCAAGAATTTGTTCCTGAAGATGCTAGATGAATCCCTGATGCTCTATGTAGCCCACAAATGGTCGAAAGCCAGTGCACCAACTGAATAATTCAGAAATAGAAGTAGAGGTATTAAAAGGATCTTTCGAGCCATTGAAATGAAGTAATGACGACGGCTGGAGGGCGGTGCGGTTTTGATGACGTCATCGGACGTCACTGGTGAACTGGGGAGTGGTTGGAACCTCCTGCTTACATACGTCCAGCAATGAAGTTCGATGATGTCATCAAGACTCGAACATCCTTCAGCCGTCGTGATCACTGTCCTTCACGAAGAGCACTGCATATATGAATATTTATTAGAAGGCGGTGAGGTAGGAAATGTCAGAATCTTCTGTCAAAGGCGATATCAAAGAATCGACAATCTTAGACTCTAAGAATTGGAATAAAGCGGGAGCGGGAATGCCCACGTTTGAGAAAAAAATCAAAAAGCATCAGATGATACGGTAACTTGGCTTCTATTCTTGAAGCTAGGTTATTTACGAGCCCGTCATGCCTTTCAGTCCCAGCCCAAACATCATCAAAATTGCTTTCAGGTATTGTTCAGAGATTAGCCACCCCTAACATAAGCTGACCATGAATAAGAGAGTCATGACGTTTCTTTCTCGATCACAATCCATGCGCTTTCGTGAACTATGTACATGAGTAGGTCTACAGTGGCCGAGTAGTTCGCGTCGCAATTATCTGCTATTAAAATTGAGTCCTGCAGATACCGAGAAAAACGGCTACCGCAAGATACGGGGGCATTTTGAGGGCAGTGCCTTCAAAACCGCGCAGAACCTGAAAACGAGACTAAGCCGTAAGCGAAAGTTGAGAAACTCCAGGGTGCGTGAGCAATTTTCATTTCTTCCGGAGTTCCAGCATACTCCTTGGCTTTGTTCTGGGGGACGCCATCGTAAGCTGCGATAGGGAACGAAGTCTTTTTCTTGCCTGGAAGAGTGAACTGGCACTAGATCCAATTTTGAAAGGAGCAACAAATAAGGATGGACCTTGTATGAGCCCAGAAGTGATTGCTGGCTCAATACACATAGGGACCCTCAATCTTGAGTAGAATGCCAGTGCATCAGGAAATGAATGGTGAACGCTTCACACTGCGGCTTCATGTTACTGAAACTCAATTTGGGAAGTCACGCTCTATGTTTGATGCTTGCGCGCATTTACAACGAACCATTGTAAATCTCGGAGGAATAGAAGGAAGCAAAACAATTAAAGGAGTAGTAAACAGATGAGAAATCAAAAGCCGATGGCAAAACTTTGATGAAACTGACGCGATACCGAAGGATGTGCGGGTGCAGAGCAGAGGGACGTGCAGAAATGAGTGAATAGATCCTACTTTAAGATATACGATAAGATATGCA